GAAGCGTTCAAGAGAACGGGGTTGATGAAGTCGTACTCGACGTGATTCAAATCACCGATGACCAAGTGCCGAACGGACAACACCTCCGCGTTCAACACACATACGGTTGGGAAGACGTCTCCTCCAACTTGATCCAGCAAGGGGGAAGGAGAGGTTGATGAAGATCCAGCAGCACGACAGGGTGGTGGTGGAAGCAACGGTGATCTCGGCAGGGCTTCGCCAAGCGCAGGGAGACGGAGGAGTGTCACGGGAGGGAGAGGGAGAGGCCAGGGGCTTGGGGTGCGCAGCCCTCCCTCCCTCCCACTATATATAGGGTGCCTAGGGGGGCGCCGGCTCTAGGAGATCCAATCTCCTAGGGGGGGCGGCAGCCAAGGGGGGTGCCTTGCCCCCCAAGGCAAGGGTGGCGCCCCCACCCCTAGGGTTTCTAACCCTAGGCGCAGGGGAAGGCCCAAGGGGGGGCGCACCAGCCCACTAGGGGCTGGTTCCCCTCCCACTTCAGCCCATGGGGCCCTTCGGGATAGGTGGCCCCACCCGGTGGACCCCCGGGACCCTTCCGGTGGTCCTGGTACAATACCGGTGACCCCCGAAACCTTCTCGATGGCCGAAACTGGACTTCCTATATATAAATCTTTACCTTCGGACCATTCCGGAACTCCTCATGACGTCTGGGATCTCATCCGGGACTCCGAACAACTTTCAGGTTACCGTATGCTAATATCTCTACAACCCTAGCGTCACCGACCTTGAGTGTGTAGACCCTACGGGTTCAGGAGACATGCAGACATGACCGAGAAGCCTCTCCGGTCAATAACCAACAGCGGGATCTGGATACCCATGTTGGCTCCCACATGCTCCACGATGATCTCATCAGATGAACCACGATGTCGAGGATTCAATCAATCCGTATACAATTCCCTTTGTTAATCGGTACGTTACTTGCCCGAGACTCGATCGTCGGTATCCCAATACCTTGTTCAGTCTCGTTACCGGCAAGTCACTTTACTCGTACCGTAATGCATGATCCCGTGATTAACCACTTGATCACATTGAGCTCATTATGATGATGCATTACCGAGTGGGCCCAGAGATACCTCTCCGTCATACGGAGTGACAAATCCCAGTCTCGATTCGTGCCAACCCAACAGATACTTTCAGAGATACCTGTAATGTACCTTTATAGTCACCCAGTTACGTTGTGACATTTGGCACACCCAAGGCACTCCTACGGTATCCAGGAGTTGCGCAATCTCATGGTCTAAGGAAATGATACTTGACATTCAGAAAAGCTACAGCAAACGAACTACACGATCTTTGAGCTATGCTTAGGATTGGGTCTTGTCCATCACATCATTCTCCTAATGATGTGATCCCATTATCAATGACATCTAATGTCCATAGTCAGGAAACCATGACTATCTTTTGATCAACGAGCTAGTCAACTAGAGGCTCACTAGGGACGTGTTGTGGTCTATGTATTCACACATGTATTACGATTTCCGGATAACACAATTATAGCATGAACAATAGACAATTATCATGAACAAAGAAATATAATAATAACCATTTTATTATTGCCTCTAGGGCATATTTCCAACATATAAATAGCCGCCCCCTACAACCACTAGCTGGTTGGCTGCTCCGCGAGAAACTGACACTTTTAATTGAGAGCATCCCATCCCCCGAGGACTTTGATCGAAAATCATCAAGTGAGGAAAACCCAAACCCAAACACCTACAAACCCAAAGTGATTGAGCATCACTGAAGAGATTGTTCCTGTGTGGAACCGATGCTTGTTACCTTTGAGGACTATGCATCCTCCAAACGAATAGGTGTCATGGTCTAGAGCATCCAAGAGAAAATTGTGGATTGCCGGGTGACCAAGTCTGTGAAGGTTTGGAAGTCACCTGAAGACTTACCACGAGTGATTGGGCGATGTCTGTGTGACCTTAGCTCAAGGAGAATACGGTGAGGACTGGGTGTCCTCAGGTTTAAATACCTAGCCGCTCCAACCAAACGTACAACTGTCACAACAGTTGGAACTGGTCTACCAAATCATTGTCTTCACCGAGCTAACTGGTTCTATTTCCTCAACCCTTTCATTTCCTCATTACTGTGTTGTGTGCTTGTTCATATCTGTTTAAAGGCTTTGGCTGAAGACTTTCTCAATTTCCTCAGTTCAATTTCTTCAGTCTGTTTGTCTTCACCTTGTTGTATCCTATGCTTACGCTTTCTGTACTATGTGTTTGTTTCCAATTCATCATGATGCCCATGCTTATGTTATGTCATGTCTGCATCTGAGTACTTATTTCGCTGCAAGTAGTTCTTCGCTTAGAAATTTCCTCACCATGAAATTCCTAAGTGAAGAATTCATAAAAATCGTCTATTCACCCCCCCTCTAGTCGACTTAACGCACTTTCAAATTCCTATCTTTTGTTCTCCGCTAATAGGAACTCAGGAGTGATTCTTCGTTACACTTTGAGGGATAATCATATGATTCAACTATGTTAGCATTGTTGAGAGATTGCACTAGCGAAAGTACGGACCCTAGGCCTTGTTTTTAAGCATTGCAACACCGTTTTTGTGCCCGTTTACTACTTGTTACCTTGCTGTTTTTATTTATTCAGATTATAAAAATATATTTCTACCATCCATATACACTTTTGTCACCATCTCTTCGCCTAACTAGTGCACCTATACAATTTGCCATTGTATTGGGTGTGTTGGGGACGAGATTTCTTGTATTTGGTTGCAGGGTCATTTGAGAGAGACCATCTTCATCCTACACCTCTCACAGATTGATAAACCTTAAGTCATCCACTTGAGGGAAAATTGCCACTGTCCTACAAAACTCTGCACTTGGAGGCCCAATGCGTGTCTATAAGAATAAAGTTGCGTAGTAGACATCAAGTTCCGACGGCCTCATGCAATCAACAAATTCATATAAGATTACTGCATGCTTGCTAATGTGCCAAGGGGATCCTTCCCACATACAATCATGATCTCTCTGTGTAGCAAACTCAGCAATAAAGATGTTGTCCCCTATTGATTTGAAAACCAAACCTTTGGGGTTTCCCCATGCCGGGCGAAGGGCATTGGTGATGGTCTGGATATGGAGTATGTTTATGTGAAGAACCTTTCTAACCACCATCCACTTTCGCTATTCCCTGTCACCGCGATCATCTATCACCAAAGGAGTGACTTCTTCATCTGTGATATCAAGTTTCCCAAGTGCTTTTGTGAGTCGATCCCTCCCGTCTTATGCGACAAGGCACCCGCCTCCCTCACTCCTCATGTCCCAATGGACCGGCCATCAAAATCCCGACAGAAAACCTTGCGCCCCGCCGACCAGATTGGCCGGAGCCATCAGCACCCCCGCGTGTAACCCTAATCGCCTCGAGAAGGTTTCCGGGTTTTCCGCAGGACAAAAGGTATTGTTTGTGTGTGTGTGTGG